CCTCTCGCGGGCCCCGCCCCTGCTCCACCCTTCAGGCTTCCCAGGGCTTTGGCTGCCGCGCGGCCCGGCCAGGAGGCGGTGCCGCTGGTGGGCGCCGGGCGAGCTCAGAGCCGCCCTGAGGTCCGCCCCAAACTGGCCTCGAATTGCGGGGTGGAACCTTGACCTTCGAGCTCCTTAACAAGGGGCCCCGGAGTGAGCCTGAGCCGTAAGGGGCTAGCAGAGCACAGAGGTCAGGGCCGGCCCGGGCAGAGGCCAGCTCCCGAGCGGTGCGCCTGGGCGGCGAACCTCCGTGAGTCCGTTTCCTGGTCTGCGAAGCAGATACCATAGTCCCCACCTCGGGGGCCACTTTGAAGAGCATCTGAGTTCAGGGCTCTACAGCCTTTACAACCAGGGTACTTAGTCCTCCTCTTTTTTTTTTTGTATTTTTCGTTTGATTTTTAAAAAGTTTTTGCCACAGGGGAAGTAAGAAATGGGGGTGGGGGGCACGCAGAGATCCCTTCTCCAGTCTCTCAGGATCTGGGGCACGCCTACACACGTGCGCATTGTGATCTTCTAAGCCACTGTGTCTGGGACTTGAACCACAGTCAGCCATGTGAGAATCCAGCATCTCAACCCTTACACCACCTGCTGGCCCCATAACCTACCTCTCTTATTTTGTACCACGAACCCCCTTGGCAGGCTGGACCCTTTCTCAGGATAAGGCTTTGAAAACAGAACAGAGCGCAGTGGCCCATGCTGCTGGTCCTGTTGTCCCGCAGCTGGGACTACACTGGGAGGCACAGGTTCTACTCCTCGGCCCTAAGGGCCAGATGTCCTCAAATGTGAAACCCTGTTAAAAAAAAAAAAAAAAGGCATTAAACAAAATGTTTAGGATTACAAGAACAATTATTGTCAAAATATATTTAAAAGTACAGTGGCCAGCAGATGGCATGGAGGTTAATGAAGCTGGATCCCACATGACTGACTGTTCGAGACCCAGACTTGGCACTTGAGAAACATGCTGATGCCTGGGTGTATGCAGGCCGAAATCTGGAGCGGAGAATGGAGAAGGGATTGCCGCGTGGTCACCCCCTGGGCAGTGCTTCTCACTTTCCCTCTCTGTCTCTGTCTCTCTCTATTTTTGTAACCTGTAGCAAAAAGCAAAAAACAAATTTATTCTATAGTTATCTATGTATTAGCCTTAAATAACAAAGCTAGCAAGTTTAAGTTAAAATTTCCAATTTTTTAAATGAAGAAATTGAATATTTTATTTCTTATTTTGCTGCAAAGCTATTGCTTCAACTGTATAAACTAGCACCAGCAAATGCAGTACATTGCAAAACTAAAATAGCACTGTTCTTCAGCACTATACAACTAACAAAAACTTTTCTCCACGCCCAGTTTTTCCCAATGGAGAGAAAATGAAGTACTCTGATCTAAATCCAGGGATGGTTATAAGGAAGATACAGTGTTATAGGAGGCTTAGGATAACAGTGTTACCGTTTATTACATCATTTTTATAACTATTATATTTAATTATAACTATAATTTTTTTCTTTTTTTGGAGAGGTTTTTGCTATAGGGCACATGCACTCACCAGACAGACAGAGAGACAGAAAGCGAGAAATCACCCCCCAGGGGGGATAGCCACATTGCAATCCCTTCTCCTCCATCCTCCTCTCGGGATCTTGGTCACGCACACACACGCGCCCGGCGTGAGTTTAAGCCACCAGGTCCAGGACTCGAACTGTGGTCAACTCCATGGGAGTCCAGAGACACAGCCATTATGCTAACTGCTGGTCCCTAACTATAATTTTTTAATCACAGATAATTTTATGAATTCTGAATACTTGAGTCTAGACTAAGAATCATGGAATATTGTGAAAAAGATGCATTTTGTGTTTATTAAAAACATAACCATTAGGGGACCAGCAGTTAGCATAATGGCTATGTTGCTGGATTCCCATGTACTCGAACGTTCAAGTACTCTGGGTTCAAGTCCCAGACCCGGCAGCTT